CCAAAATTAGTATTTCGATAAAATTTGTATCAAAATTTGAGGGTTTTTATTTAGGGGTTTTTATGTGCAGGTAAGTTGAATTCATAGTTGAAATTTTGAAATACACTAAAAATACCCCAAAAAACAAAATGGCGGCTGAAATATGGCGAGCAAAAATAAAAAAAAATAATATAGTACGTTTAAATAATTAAATATAGCAATGAAAATTTAATAATTTTCGTTCTTTTATATTAAAAATGAAAAGCAAATTATATTTCCGAAGTAATATTACAAAATAACTCGAATTAATCACAAAATAACGCGAAAACATGAAAAAAAACGTAATTTTTGTTTTTCGGTATATTTAGTCCACCTTTGCAATACGGGCAAAATGGGGCAGGTTTTTTCGAAAGAAGAAACATCAAAGAAGACAACAAAAAAAAGTTTAACTAATTACCCCGTGGAACTTTTTGGAACTAAGTTTCGAAAGTCATTCAAACATTGTGAAATATAAAATTATAGGATATAAACTATAAGTTTGTCAAGAGTATTAACTAATCCAACCAATTGAAAAATTGTACTATACTTTCAGACTAATTACTCGGATAAAAATGTAACAGTAAGGTGAAATTTCTATGTATATTTCTGAAATAAAAACTTGAAAGTTACTTTAAAAAAAAAATTTTTTAACACGTTTTTCATTTCATTGTGCTCTTGTCGGTCCAAAAAGTAAATTATAATGCTTGGAATGATTGTGAATACTTAATTTGGGCTATATTAAAGCTGCCTACACATATTTTAGTTGAAAATTTAATTTTTGACTTTTGGCCAAAGATCATGGTCTTTTGGCCCACTGTGGTATGGAATGGGAATTATTATAATGAGTGAAATAATTTTTAAAATAAATTATTCAAAACTTGTGATATTTTTGGTCTTCCTCATCCTGATCTCTATGCCTCTCTGATAGAAACCTACGACTCTTAAGAGGACACCATACAGCGGAAGAAAATTTTCCTCCCAAATTCACTTCCTCCCTCATTACAAATTTAAAATTTAAAGTGTAGAAAAGGTGAATTCAGACAAACCTAGAGTAAGCCATGACGTTTCAAATACTGAAAAGAAAATTTTGAAATATACAAATGAAACTAAATTGTGAGATGATAAGTTAGGATTACACAATGGTGAAGTTCTCTTCTACTAATTTGTTTGTATTTTAATATTTTGAAGTATTTTTTTGTCAGCAATTGAAACTTAATGGGTTACTCTGGGTTTGTCTGAAGTTGTATTTTCCTTCTTTTAAATTCGTAATGAAGAAGAAAGAGAATTTGTGACGAAAATTTTCTTCCGCTTTAGGGCATCCTCTTAAAACGTTATTAGAAGTCATTAAATGGTAGCAAAATATATATTGAGTTAATATGAAGCACTATCTTTATAGAATCATAGATTAAAATTTGTCTGCTACACCACTTAGTTATTTTATTTGATATCCGTCATTGAACAGCCGACCCATTTTTTGGGTTTACGACAACTGATGTTCAACTCCGTAGCCTTGTAATTTTGAACCACTCCAGAAGACAAGGAAACTCCTGGATCAGTACCCCCAGAGGTATTGATTTGTTATGAGAACATGGAGGACTTTGTGACTCGACAGATTTAATGTGCATCAGTCACCATTTACTACACGGGGAGTTTGCCCCCGGCGGGGATCGAACCCCCGACCTCTTGGACATGGGTCCAGTGCCCTACCAACCAGGCTATCCCGGCCCCACACCACTTAGTTAGACAGAAACTATAATTGTAAAAATTAGATAATTTGTGGTGAAAAGTGATCAGCAGATGCTATCATAATCTGCAGCGCGCGATACCGTGCGGCGGAATTTCTACTACCAGACCGTATTTACAACAAATATAGGTCTAAAAAGTATAAAAACTGCTGGCGTTGGCCAAATTTATAGCTCAAACTCCTTGATCCAATATCTTTTTCTCAAATTGAATGTGTATTTTTAACTACTTTATCCTTTGAAATTACTTTCTTACTCTAAAATATAGTCTAACGATGTGAGAATCATTATCAAACTTTACAAAAATCAAAAATATATATATATATAGATGCTATGGTTCAATGATCAATGAACTTTTTTTAACAATAGGTTAAAAAAAATTAATTTATCATTAGTTATTTTTTAAATCAAAAATTCAATTTATCTAATATTGCATAAAGATAAACTGAAAACGGAAAATCTGATGAAATGTATGTTTCCAAAAGCATAAGATCCATTGCATAACTTTATACCAACTTCTTAAGTTATACCGACCCAATTAACGTTTTGGGAAATATTTTTATGACGATTGCGGCAACAGAACAAATAAAGTTTGCTTGTAAGTCTAGCAGCCTATTAGACTTGGATCGGATTAAACTTAAACCTTGTTAGTCTAGTCTAGTTACATCTATTTTATTTTCATTTTGGGAAGCAAAGAAACTAGTTGAAAATTGCAACGTAGATTAGAGGTTGGCTTACAACAGAGAGGAAGGTCTGAACCTGTCTAGTATAAAGTAATAAATTAAACTTTAATATTCCTAAAATTGTGTTTCGTACGAGCATTGTTTTGGAGATCATTTCATGTCCATTAGTTCATATTATAAATAGATTTAACTAAAACATTTATAAAAGTTTATTAAGTTTAATAAGTACTGTTGCTACGCATCCACTATTACTTGTCAACATATTAAAATTATCATTAGTGAATCTTGTCAATATACACGGAAGAGCCATTACGTTATGACCACTCTGCTAATAACATGTAGGACCACCTTTAGCCCTCAAAACTGCTAGCACCCGCAGTGGCATTGATTCCACAAGGTGCTGATAGGTAGTCTGAGGTATCTGGTACCAAGCGCTCACCAACTGGTCCTGCAATTCCCTCACATTGCGAGGGGGTAGCGTGGCAGCACGAATTTGGTTTTCCAAGTAGGACCACAAATGCTCTATTGGAATAAGGTCAGGTGAATTTGGGAGCCAAGACATGACTTTGAAAGTCACTGGAATGTTCCTCGACGATTTGACTCTTATGACATGGTGCATTATCCTGTTGGTAAACACCATCCCCCGCAGGAAAACTTGTTGCCATGAATGGGTGAACCTGGTCCCGAACTATGTTCAAGTAGCTTATAGACGTCAGGGTTGTTCTATGAGGATTATGGGTCCTAGTGTGCCCCATGAAAACATTTCTGGCGAGAAACCATTGTTCCTGGGCAAGAAACCATTGTTCCTGGGCAAGAAACCATTGTTCCTGGGCAAGAAACCATGAAAACCTGGGCGAGCCCATTGTTATAGGAGGGTGATCATAATGTAATGGCTCTTCGGTGTATATGTTACCGGCAAAATATGAAATTCCGGCATCCTATAGAATGCCTAGGCATTCTATATAATGCCAGATGTTTTTAGGCAAGGCATGAAATATGAGAAATATTACATACTTTCCCTAGGCATTGTATATAATACCTAGGCTTTCTATAGAATGACAAATGCTATTTAGGCAAAGCATGATAAAAACTTCCTGATGAGGTTCTTATGTAAATGATGTGCATTTCTCAAATATAAAAATGTTATTCTGAAAAAATAATGAGAGTGCCATTAAAAATTTTTTATTCAAAATGCGTAAAGAAAAGTGAAAGATGAAAAATGATAATGATAATTTATATGCCTTTCTTATTAAGGAAAACAAAATTTTCACAAGAAAAATAAGAAATTAACCTACTTGTTGCAACATGGCAGGCTTGAATGACATTTCGAATTACATTTCATTACATTACGAAATGAATCGGAGAGTATTTTATACTTTGCCGGTTTCCCATTTGGCATTCTATAGAATGCCTAGAAAATGTGTGAAATATAAATCGTTTCATACATTGTCGGCTAGTTTTAGGCATTATATACAATGCCTAGGCATTCTATAGAATGCCGGACTTCAAACTTAGCCGGTAACATATATATTTGATTAAAATATGATACACCCCCTGAAAGTTTTTTGTAATAAATAATAATAATAACAATTAAGTAATAATTTTACTCATTATTATACTTTCTGATTTTCTCTTCAAAATAATATTACCTGCGAAACTTTCCGAAAATCAGAAAGAAAACTAACATCTGCATAAATAAAATTAGCAGGCCAAACAATAAAATCTTTTTTAATGCCTTTCATGCAGCATCCAATCAGAGTTAAATCTTTTATTAGCCATAAAACAATATTCCTAATTGCTTACCATATTCATTGCAATTGTCCCCACGCCAACAAAGGTCACACTCGCATCGTCCAGTTATACCGACCCAATTAACGTTTTGGGAAATATTTTTATGACGATTGCGGCAACAGAACAAATAAAGTTTGCTTGTAAGTCTAGCAGCCTATTAGACTTGGATCGGATTAAACTTAAACCTTGTTAGTCTAGTCTAGTTTATTTTTATTTTGGGAAGCAAAGAAAATAGTTGAAAATTGCAACGTAGATTAGGGGTTGGCGTACAACAGAGAGAAAGGGTTGAACCTGTCTAGTATAAAGTAATAAATTAAACTTTAATATTCCTAAAATTGTGTTTAGTATGAGCATTGCTTTGGAGATCATAAGTCTATATTATAAATGTCCATAAGTCTATATTATAAATAGATTTAACTAAAACATTTATAAATGTATATTAAGTTTAATAAGTGCTGTTGCTACACATCCACTATTACTTGTCAACATATTAAAATTATCATTAGTGAATCTTGTCAACATATGTGTTACCGGCAAAGTATGAAACGGCGGCATTCTGAAGAATGCCTTGGAATTGTATATAATGCCAGATGTTTTTAGGCGAGGTATGAAATATGAGAAGTATTGCATACTTTCCTTAGGCATTGTATATAATACCTAGGCATTTGATAGAATAACGAATGCTATTTAGGAAAAATATGAAAAAACGTCTTGATGAGGTTATTATGTAAATGATGGGCATTTTTCAAATATAAAAATGTTATTCTGAAAAAATAATGAGAGTGCCATTAAAATTTTTTTATTCAAAATGCGTAAAGAAAAGTGAAAGATGAAAAATGATAATGATAATATCAAGGGATAATATCTTTCTTATTAAGGGAAACAAAATTTTAAATAAGAATTCAAATTTAAATAAAATAAGAAATTAACCTACTTGTTACAACATGGCAGGCTTGAATGACATTTTGAATTACATTTCATTACATTACGAAACGAAACGGAGATGTATTTTATACTTTGCCGGTTTCTCATTTGGCATTCTATAGAATGCCTAGCAAATGTGTGAAGTATAAATCGTTTTATACAATACCGGCTAGTTTTAGGCATTATATACAATGCCTAGGCACTCTATGGAATGCCGGGTTTCAAACTTAGCCGGTAACATATATATTTGATTAAAATATGATACACTCCCTACAAGTTTTTTGCTATAAATAATAATAACAGCAATTAAGTAATAATTTTATTCATTATTATACTTTCTGATTTTCTCTTCAAAATAATATTACCTGCGAAACTTTCCAAAAATCTGAAAGAAAACTAACATCTGCGTAAATAAAATTAGCAGGTTAAACAATAAAATCTTTTTTAATGCCTTTCATGCAGCATCCAATCAGAGTTAAATCTTTTATTAGCCATAAAACAATATTCCTAATTGCTTACCATATTCATTGCAATTGTCCCCACGCCAACAAAGGTCACACTCGCATCGTCCCGCTTCGTTGCAATCCCCATGGTAGCATGTAATCGATCTGGAAAAAAAATGAATAAAAACAATGTAAACCTTTTCATTAAAAGAGATGGAGGTTGGTTAAATGATGCCTATCGTGACAAATTACAGACTGAAAATACACTTTACGAACTGATTTGCGAAAAAGAAATATATCTACATAATACGAAATGTATTTTGGGAAGTCGATTTAGTTTAAATTGTGTTCGTTTATGTCATTTTTTTAAACGAGTGAGGTAATTTTTAATGTATTAAGATCATAAAAAAATTATAAGGTAATAATGTGAAAAGTAAATAAAATTGTGTTTAATAATATGTTAATAATGTGTTAAATAAAATTGTGTAATAATGTGTTTAATTGTTTTGCTAATTTAAAAAACAGTATATTTATTTCCCCTGTTTCCTATCATTTGGATGATGAAAAATATTTTGTTTCCTAATATTTACTAATTTGAATTTATAGAAAATTTATATTTTTACAATCATTTAATTACAAAAACTTCCGATTAATTTTCATTCCTTATTTCCGCATCAAAAACTCGATTTTTCTGTACCTGTCTTATTTCGAAATGCATCTTATGAACATGATTTCCAAACTTAAATTATTCTTCCTGTTTCTGTAAGCCTTTCGAGCATGTGCAGCACAGAATTACAGCACTAATTAGTGGAAAATGTTAATACTGCCCTTTTCCTCATTTATTTATATGTATTAATTGCTAGATTGTCCTGGAAGCATTATTACTTACTCTTGAGTACACGAAAGATGGCATACTCGTAAAAGAAAAGTATTTAAAATGTCAGTCGCATACATAGGAGCGAAGGCTTTAAGAACTAGTATAGGTACAGGTGTTATATAAAATTAAATTAACGATTTTTTACTGAGAAGTACGGTATTTAAAAAGAAAAATATTAATACACGAATGAGTATTTATTCACAACAATTGCAATTATTAAGTACAAAAATAACTCCGAAACAATGAGTATAATTTACTGAATATAGAAAATAAAAATATGGTAGATTTTTGATATCTCTCTATATCAAAAAACCGTAAACGCCACCTGTTTTGAATACGTTTCTGCACGTTGGAACTGTACGTTGCATTTTGCTTTGCTAAGAAAAAACTTTAAAACTTAGAAACTTTAAAATATTTAAATTCGCATTAGTTGCTCTTTGTTTATTTCATGTGGTTCGTAAAATTTTGATTATTGAATGATATTATTTTTCTTTTTAACTTTGTTTTACATATTTTATGATAGGATAAGCAAGAAAACCAATCTGTGAGCAAATAATTATGTTCAAGCAATAAGAAAGAGGGAGTTCAATCACTTTTTATTTGAATAAAGACGCAGTAAGTAACATAAATTATTACAAATGGGAACTTCTCTTATTGTTAAACTTAAGCAACACAAATATTCTATGTATACAGTCGAACCTCGCTAACTCGAACCTCGATTTCACGAATTTTTCGATATCTCGAAGGAAAAAAAATTCCCTTCAAATTTCCTATACACTCAATGTTTAAAAAAACTTGATCTCACGATTTTTTTTTCCTAATCCTTCGACAACTTAAATTTTTTTTCCATAAATAGTGTAGATTTTTTTCCTAAAATTAAAAAAATACAAAATTTTAAGAATGGCTGACAAGGCATGAAATGATGTGTTTTCCTTTACGGTAATGAATGGCTTCAAGAAGTCTGGATTCATTAAAGATCATAAAAGTAGTCAAACAATCAATATCGTTAATTCTGCTAAAAACTACACCGAAAATGATTGGAACAGATTGACCGGACTCATGAAGCTTGATGACATGGAATTTCATGACTTTGTAAACGTAGATGATTCAGTAACAGTGTGTGGTCAGTGGGATGACAATGATATCATCGCTCAAACGAAAGCTTCGTGTGAACTATCAGAAGAAGAGGATGAGGAAATCGAAGNTAAGAGTAGTGAAATTCCTGCAACCGTAGTTTTAAACAATCAATAGCACTAGAAAAGGAGATATTGGTAAAACCGAAACATCAAAAGAAAGTATAGGTTTGTTAGAGGGGGAAAGATGCGCGAGTTGGTAACCAAATTCATGGAAATTTTTAACAGTGTGAATGTTGTTAGAAATTAGAGGTGAGATGATACGAGCTAAAAAGCGAGAAAGTTTATAACAGGGAGTATCAGGGAGTATTGAAACTTGTAAACTTAAGGAAGAGCAGAAAAACAAGCTCAACTGGAAATAGAAAGAAACTTTTAGTGTAGTTCGAAAGCATACAAGAACTTCTCATTTTTCCTTAATTTCAGTAGAATGAGAAGATGTAGGATCAGACTTTAAGATTGAGTAAGGGCCAGAGGCTAACATCTTTTCAACATGATTACTATAATCTAATTATTACGTAATCATGTAACACTTACACAATTTTAACCCTTACACAATTTTAAAGTTACGCAAAAATTACAGCTAGGCTTAACATTTACAATTTTTAGTTTTATTTTTAAGAACTTCAAGTTCAAATATTTTTATTTGAAAAGTTGTACGCTTAGTAAAATTTAAATATTTGCGCTTTGAAAATAATAATGCAACGCTTTTTCATTACAAATAGGAACCTTTTTTCATAAAATAATAACAAGAGAATGTCTATACATATGATTTTAGAAATATAAAATGGAATGTCAAATATCTTTCATCCTCTTGAGATGTATCTTACATCATCAATCATAAAAAGTCTTCTATTTGCTAATTTTCAGACAAAATTTTTATTATGATGACCATTAAAAGCTTACATAAAACACCTATTAGGCATACAGTGTGCAAAATATAAAAAAATCCCTTTCATAACTTTTAATTTAATTATTGGATTTTACGCACTAAAATGCAATATTTATGGTTCGAGGGTCAAAATGCTAATTAATTTGCCCAGTCGATATATTTTAAATAAAAATATAAGACCTAAAAACGTACTTTCTGAGAATAAACATACCTCTTCCTTTTCGAATACCCTAATATGAAAATAATATATATCCTACCCTTTATCTTTCAAAATATAAAGGGTAGCCATAATTGAGCTATTTAAGACAAAGAAAAAATTTTTAACGCAGCTATGAAACTCGTTCATTCAAAAAAAGGCTGTGTAGAAATATTTTTCCCTAATTATTTATTATTTTTTATTGTTTAATTTAATAATGATTTTAAAAAATTTAAGCTTTAAGATAGGGACAGGGTGCTAGTGTGGGCAATTCCTACAAATTTGTCAAAAACTCATATTTAATATATTTTTAACTCGTGAAATATTTCTTTACAATAATCAGGATGTTCACTTCTATTTTGGCTTTCATCTGGAATAAAAAAGTTATTCAGTTTTACCATATTATTATTTATTTTTTTGAAGAAAAAAAAGGGTTGTTTTTGTCCACATTAGTCCCACTACGCAAGGCTAGAGTGAAGAAGCTCTGAGGCTAATGGAGACAAACTCGATAACTAAATGGTAGAATAGGGTCGTTAACTGCAATTCAGAAAGGTGTATCTGAAGCCAAAAATAAAATTAATCTCAATCTAATATTTATTGGAGAGTAAATATCGACATAGTTTAATTAAAATACTAATATATAATACAGCATTTCACTATACTAAGATTTGACATTTTGAATACAAATCAATACATTCGAAAGCGATTATTTGATTTAATTTATTTGAACAGACAGAATTAATTTTAAATTGTATCAATTTTAATAACCATGGTCTTAACTTGATAACGAAATGGTCCAAATGGACAACATACGGAGTGCATTACTGCGATATTTTTTTTTCATTGGAGCAATGTAAAAAACTCATAAAACCGAAGACGGGACTGTTTGCTGATATTCTGTAATAGTTTAATGTATGACAAAAAATACATAGTAAAAACCTTGCTTTTTTTACTTCAATACATCCCTATTTAATTAAATTCTTTTAACGAACTTGATAAAACATCAGCTTTGAAACATTTCTTAAAAAATGTATTAATATTAAGGTTTTGTGCTAGTTTTTTTGCTTGTTCTTGAAACCACTCATTATAAAGGTATATTATTCTACAATATCATTCTAAGTTAGAAAATAAATAACATCAAATTTGTGATCAATTTGTGTGTTTTCTTCCATTGAAAGTTGAATGAGGCATGTGTGGATCTCTACCTCTATGTGTCTACAGCAGCCCCACAAAGCCTAATGCCGGTTAATAGACAACTAGAATTGGGTTGAGCCCTTTAACTATTTCGTTTTCAGTGTGAATATTTGCCTCATAATGGCTTCATATTTAGGTGATCTCCGAAGCCAAGAAAGAGGTTCAACCAGTTCTATTTACGCAATGAGCTCTGTTTTGCGTATGTTTCAGGGAACCTTTCGCACACTCCAGAAACGATTTTTGAAGAAACCTTTTCGCACACTCCAGAAACGGTTTTTGTTTATATTCAGAGCAAAGATGTGGCCTAGATGAGGCAAAATATTTAAGTTTCTGCTTTAAACTGGGTTAACAGTTAACTATGTACGCCTCAAAATGAGAAGTTGAGCAGTAGGCTCTTGAAACTATACAAAACAGAAGTTACAATCAAAAAAGGTTTTCAAAAAAACACATAAATTAACATGTTATGTTTAAGAGAAAATTTCTATTATCTGAAAATAAATTATGTTAATAAAAGAGTAAAGAGAAAGTTTTAAAATTACTTTTGCTCTTTAAAAACCTTCTTATGTAAATTTCTACTAAAGTATTCCCAGTGTGATAATGCAACTGATTAATGGAAGTGTGTTCATCAAAGTTGCCAATCTGTGATATCTCATAGAGGAAATTTGAACAAGGCATTAAAGAATTTTTCAAGATTTCCACTCTTCCCCCAAGCCCACCCAAGTCTATATATTTTCTTTTATTTTTAACTATGCAATTTAAATAGCCAAAATATGAGATTTGAACAAAATCGATCAAATAGTTTCTTAGTAATATAATTTCTAAATAGTCATAATTTTATATTTTAATTTCTCAGGAATTTTTCGACCCTTTCCATTGAAGTTTCCGATTTTGACATTAAGAATTTCATAGTTTCAAATAATGTAAAAATTTGTATAGTGAAATTAACATGAAGGGTTCCGTATACTCTTTACTGTTAACTAAATTATTAAGACCACATATTTTCTTGATAATAAAAGGTATTCGAAAAATGTGCACTACTGAAGTGTATGATTTCCAAACTAAAAATATTGTCTGCACAAATCAATTAACACATTTAAGATCAATCCTTTGAACAATTAAAGTTTAATTTCTGTGTATGATAACCCAATTTTTATAATTTGATGTTTCGTTTTATATTTTGCGCACAGTTCAGAGCTCAAAATAAAAATAATATTATGATTATGAATAACTTTTGCTCTCGTGATCGGATTTTAATAAACTAGGTAATTTTTGAAAAGGGCAACCTCAAATATGTTAATTAATGACTGAATAAAGATACCTTTTTTGCCGACGAATTTAGATTTTTGTTTATCAGAATAGGGGGAAGGGAGAAACTCATCAAAATATGAAAAAAGGAAAAATACTTGACTATCAAAATATGGAAAATTTGTTCTTGATAGTTTAGGCAGGTGAGCGTTCAAAAGTTTGGATTTTTTAATGTTGCACTTTTTACGTATGTCGACATAACCAATGGAACAAATTTTTCCTACAATTATAAATTTAGTTTACCCAATGATGGTTACATGAAAAAAAGTTTTAATAGTTTATTATTATTTCTATTATTTTTTCGAATGAGGATAAAATAACTTTTGAATTGTAAGGTATACAAATTTTTATATCATTTCAAACTAAGTAATTTTACAAAATTGACGAAACATAAAATTTGGATCAAAATGATCAAGTAATAAAGAAATAGAATTTTAAAAATATATTTGATTTTTTAAAAAAAATTGCATTGCTTTAAAAAAATTTTATTAGAAACTATTCAACTGATTTCTCTCAAATTTTGTCATTTAAAATTAAATAGATTAAATTGGTGTAAAAATTTGTACAGTACAATTCAAAATCTTTTCGACCCTAATTGAATAAAATAATTTAAAAAAACTATTAAAAACTATTTTTTTACATGGAATTATCGTTGGTCAAACTAAATTTATAATTGTCAGCAAAAGTTTTTCTATTCACTTTAAAAGTTTCAAAGATATGGCTAAATATACTTGAAAATGAGGGCTAAAACTTTCGACTGTTCTCCAGTCAAAGCTATTGGAACCATATTTTCCAGTTTTGTTGTAACAGCCTATATTTTTATCAGTGCCAGATTAGTGTAGAGGAACAGTTGGGACTGCATCCCCAGGTCTAGGATTCTTAAAGGGCCCTGCCAAAAACTTTCAAATGGCATCTCTGAAATAGTATTTTATCATAAAAACCTGAACATTTCATACTTTAATAAACTTTAGTTAAACATAAAGAAATAAAAGATGAAATGAAGGAAAAAGCAATTATTATTACAGCAACTCTCGATAAATTCTAATTTGAGTAGAAACGACCACACTGGCACGTGCTCGAATTAAAGTAATTAGCATTTGCAATGATCAGATTTTTAATGGATGGCTCAGGGGTTTTATGATACTGTAGTTTTATTTTCTTTCAGAATATTTTTTTCTGCTTATATCTAAATCGGATATTGCGGACCACGGTACCATTTATTAAACGACCTTTCTGACTCCAGCGGCCAAAGATCACAGGGACGTGACCTCCATTCGGTACTCTCATATTACGTATCGTATTAGTACGTATATTCTCGGAGTACACGGGCCTCGGGAAGCGCTTCATTTTCATTTTGTTGGTTATGACGAGGGTAAAAGACTTATTTCTATTGCTGTTTATTGTATGAACAGAATTAATTTCATCTGAGACTGAAAAACGAAAGCCAAAGCAGTTAAGGAAAGGAAAGTTTTTTTTAAAAAAAAATACCGAAAATAGCGCATTATTTTACTAGATATAATGAAGCTAATGTATTTTTAGAAATAACTCTTATCATTAAAAATGGCCGTGTCTTAATATTTTAGGTAAGAAACTTAATATAAATTATACAAATTAATTTCTTTTTAATAAGTAGTGCATTAATTTTGGAATATTTTAAGACATTATAGTATTGTAGTTATTACAATATGTTTAAGTGAATGAAATTTTTTAATGAAACACATCAAAATTTGAAATTAAAGCATTCAATTTAATTTTTGAAAAATTCGACATCATAAAAAATTATTTTCAAGGTATGAAAAAATTATATGTTGCAAACATATATATATATCCCACCCAAGTCTATATATTTTCTTTTANNTATATGTATATATATATATACAGAGAGAGAGAAAGATAAAGTGGGTATCCATTTTGCTCTAAAGAAACTAAAATTTTCTTAGAATTAGATATCGTTTTTCAAATTATAAAATTATATCTTCTAATTTCGATCTAAATATATTTACTGAAAAATTATTAAAATAGTCTGGTTGGGAAAAACATAACAAAATGTTTTTTTTCTTCTTAATATTGCTGCGACTCTATTAATTTTTCCAGGTGCGTACGAGACCTGTTATTTTCATTACTTAATGCATGTTGTGTACGCATGAATTGCCAAGACTTAGGCAAATTTTCAATTTATTTAATAAAATATTGGACTTAATTACATTTCGTATCTTACTTAAAGTTAACTATTAATTATTATTATTAACTTAATTTTTACTTAATTTTGGTAAAATATTAAAATTTCATTGATTAATAAGGCACCACGTTACCGACCAGCTCCAGGACCCTTTGACACATTGATCCTGCTTTGATTTTGATGGTTAAAAATCCAAATCCATCAAAAGCTACGTTTATTCAGAGAAAGTTTGTTTTGTGCAACTTAATCAAAAAATAGCACCAATTAATTAGCATGATTGAGGTTACATTTTCAAATCATTAAATTGGCACTCAAAATTATCATTAAAACAAGTGTTATTTAAGGCAAAATCTTTTTTATTTTGCTCAGGTAATAACTGAAATAATAAAAGTAAGCTAAATTATAGTAACGAAAATGCTCTAATAAGACAGTAACGAGCCCTCTGGAGCCAAACCCAATATAACTCAGTTAAACAGCTTTTAATTTATATGTTTCCTTATTAAGTTCTAAATAGTCCTTATACATTATATTATTATGCTAAAACTAATTATTGTAGAAAAACTTACTTGACGCAACCGTTTCCTTCACAATTTTCTAACACTTGTTCACATATTTGGACACCTGTATACATAAAAACAGATTTTAAAATAATGTAGTAAGCATTTTTATTAAATTTCTAATTTTCTTTCGATAATTCGAAAAGAAATTAGAGTACAATATTGAAACCATTTAAAAAAACAATAGTATATCTTATTGATATGGTGTTAAATTTGTGATGTAATATCTCTCAGAATATGATGTTGAACAACCTCAAAAGTTATGCGAATTTACACTTCTTCTTTAAATAACACCAAATCTAGTTTTTATTTACAATTTAATGGGTGTTATGAAAGCTCTTAACACTGAAAATATAAAAAGCTTACTCCAAGATCGCTTGCCTTTAAACCATAAGTTAAATATTCTCACTTCCGAAAACTCTGAGTTTGGCTCGTTTTGATTTCATCTATAATTGTTTGCAATCGATAATGAGTTTTTAAGTCTTTTGTTCAATATAGCTTTTAATCTGCGGAAAGTATGTAGGTTTTTAGTTGTGTACTATGAATATTTATATTTTAATTTTCAATTCTATGTAAACTGCAATAAATAATTTTATAATGTATAATTTCAATCCACTTCTGCTCTGTTAGGCCTAGTTCGAATTCGTCTTAATATTCTATCTGTTTTGCGTATCATTTACAAACTCATATTCATTTACAAACTCATTTTATTTTTAGAATTAGTGAACGCATGCAATCCAAATAACTTAGTGTGGTTTTATATTGTTCTCGTAAAAATAATTTTACTGATTCATGTATGTATCACATTTTACTATAATTTAAAATTTTAGTTTTACTAAATAACAAGTGGTTGGTGCAGAGTACCAAGTAGTGTAAAGGAACATTCTAGTTGTTTCACAACACCAGGAACTTGGGTTTTGGTGTAGTAGAACATTTAGTTGAACGTCACTTCGGTGTAAAGTAATTGCCACCATATTTGGTGTTCAGATGCACTAAATTTTTTTTACAGTGAAGGTCACTAATATTAGCTTCATTGGCTTGGATAAAAATTAGATTTCATTTTAAATTTAATTTTTAATTATTCAATTTTAAAATATTTTATCTAAGCAAATAGACAAAACAGAAACAAAGATTAATTGTAATTTTTATTTTGGAATATATATATATCAGTTTAGAAACTAAGAATAAAAACTTAGATATTTGTCTCTTATCGTCTCTCCTTAGCTTATTTTCTCATGGATTAGGAAACAGAATATTAATATACACATTTAACATAGTGTCTCATCCCCAACCTTTGCCAACTACCTAGCCACGTTTTCAAGACTATCATTTATCTGCAACGACACCAGATAACATTGATCATAAATACTCAACTCATATCATAATTTTTCGATTTTTTGAAAGTATAATCAAACAATTTTTTTGTATCTATTTATATTAGGAAAATTGAACTTACATTCAAAATTTTTTTAAAATAGTTTTTAAATAAGCAATAAACAAATTATATTGCGACAAAACTTTACAGATACAAAAGCTTAATATCAAAATCAATGAGACTTAAAGTTATTATCGCTTTATTTCTTCATTCGAATTTTTATTTTGTATTTATTTCATTCTAAAGAAATGTTTAAATTAATAAAAAATCGTTTGCAAAACTATTTCAAAGATTTTTTTAAAGAAAACACGGGTGTTCTTTAAAAAAGAGTGAATGCTTCGTAATTTTAATAGCTATGTTGACTCCCCCCCCCCAAAAAAAAAATATTTTTAATCTTAAAATTATTTTTTNCCCCCAAAAAAAAAAATATTTTTAATTTTAAAATTATTTTCTATAAGTTTTACTGTATGAGTGCAAGCGATATATGGAGAAAAAAGTTAATTAAAATAACATATTCTCATTTCATTAAGTTTAAGTAACTAAAAGCAATTTTAAAATTTTGGTAATTTCTTTTTAAATTTTGCTTAATAATCTCCTTTGTAAATTCTAAAAATAAGCTTTGTACTTAATAAAAGAAATCATTTGTTTCCTTATTCTTATGATTAAGAATATTCGCAAATATCTTCTGCGTTGTTATACATTTTACTTGTTATTGACAAGTATAATCAATGGTGTACTCTAAAGTTATTTTATTAAGTATGTGTATCTAAAATATGAGTATCTACAAAATTGGAAATTGTTTTCTGTTTTGAAATTAAATTACTGGTTAATACACTCGTAAAAACTAACGCAAAATTCTGAAGCAAGATTCATATTTCATAAGATAAGAAATATAAAATAACTAAATATGTGTTGAAATCAGTCATTTTTTTATGTATTGAAATTACATTATGTTGTTGTCCTCTATTCACTGTCTTTTAAAATAAAATGTTCTAAGAATATTTAGCGCTTATCCTCGTGCAGTACTTTAACTTTTAATAATTGCAATCAAATTTGACGAGTCATAGTACGTTTCAAAATTACACAAATTAATGTCGTCCTTATTAAAAATTAACATTTTTTTCCAAAAAATAGTGAATACAATTTATAAATTATAAAATATATTTAGATTTTAACAAAATAAGGCTCGACACAAATTATTATCATTCTAATAAAAAATTAATCGCTTTTTAAAAGTTAATCAATATAATTTATGAATTATAAGATACATTTAAGTTTCAACAAAATTCATGAATCTTAAAATGAAATGTTTTGATAGTATTTTGTGTTTATAATCATGAGGTACCTGTGTTTTTTAACCGCAGTTTTCAAAGTTTGTCAGGCCAAACTACACTAAATAACACACAAATTAATATTGTCCGAATGAAATTTAAAATTTTATCCAAAAACGTAATTAACAAAATTTATAAATTATGAAATACATTTAAGTTTTAGCAAAACTCATAAATCTTAAAATAAAATGTTTTGGTGGTATTTTGTGTTTATAATCATGAGATACCTGCATTTTTAACAACAGTTTTCAATGTTTAAGTTTGTCGAGCCTTAATATATTCCAAAATCACACAAATTAATAGCGTCTTTTTAGAAATTCGACTTTTAATTTCAAAAAATATTTGATGAAATTTATGAATAATAAAATGATTAAATCAATAAATCCTTAAATGTTTGATGGTTTTTGTACTTAAACGGTCCCTACATTTTTAAGACGTAGTTCTCAAAGTTTGTCCGGACATGTAACATTACAAGATTATAGAAGTTAATATCATCTTTTTAATTCTACCTTTAAGATTGCCGTCTTTATAAAAAAAAAAAATTAACCTTTTTTAAAAAAAAATTATTTGTTCAAATTCATGAGCCTTTTTTGTAATAAGTTTTGGACAAAGTCAACTCACCTTTTGCACAAGCAACTGTAACAAGAAGTACCAGAGACGCAGTCAACAGATTATTTAAAAATGTTTTCATGTTTACATGAATAGTCCAAGTTTCACTTTTTAATGAATGGTGGAAGCGTGCACATAAACAGGGTGGGTGGAAAAAGGCGCTACGAAATGTTGCGCCGTTTTTCAGTCACTAATTCGTTCTTTATTGTTTCAAGCGATCGGGCGTTGTCTTGTGTTTAGTTGGAAGATGTTACCCTGGTAGCGGATATTTCGTGCGTAACGGAATTTCATGAATTATAAGCAATCAGACAATTTCATTTTCGCGCTAACCGAACCAACTGGAGCTTAACGAGTTGTTACGAAACAAGCCCTGGTCATTTTTCTAGTGTCGCTTTCTATCATCCCTAAAATACCAGATATTGACCTTGAACTTGCTCCAAATGAGTATTTAGAAGCTAATTTTAATTTTATATACCAGAGAAGTGATTATGATTTATTATTATAAACAAGGATTTGCAGCTTAGCTACCACTACAATTATTCAATTAAAATTCACTAGTATATAAGACAAGTTAACTCGATTCTATCTGGAGGTACCTTTCGATAAATCACGATTGATAGTGTCGGTAGCCCACCCCCACATCGGTGACCCAAACATGATCTAAACACCCTTAACGCGATTGAAACACCCACTTCGATTTAAAAACACCTACTTCGATAGATGATTTACAAAGTACAGTTAATTTACTATTTGTGACTGCGATATTGTCCTCCTCACGCTGTTGCTACTCAGTCTCGATCGCACACAACGGGGGCGTGTACACAACTCGACTGCTAATAGCAACAGAGGAGTAGCTACAAGCACAACAGTGATCTTAATACAGCTTTCACGACCAGCACTCAAAGTCCGATGGTCTTAATACAGCTCTCCCGGCCTTTCGCAAAGCAGCAATGAATCAACTAATGGCATCCATTCAACGAATTCTATCACAGATGAAATTCTGGTGTTGGAGTATTGTATTGAATAATGGTAGTGGGTAGCGACTACTACAATCATTTAATTTCAATTCACTAGAATATAAGACTTGTTAACTCGATTCTATCTACAGGTACCTTTTGATAGATGACGGTTGATATTATCGGTTGATTTGTAAGCCAAGATCAGTAGCCTAGCCCCCACAAAATACTCACCGATATCTGAAGAACTTTATAAATCTGGTTTTAAATACTTTTGTCAAACAAATACTTCTTTTTTATTACGTTTCATAAAGTCGCTTTCGTGTGTGTGGTGGGAATCTTGCAATCGAAAGTTCGGCTGATTTCCATTTAGTTAGAGCACTCTTTCAACTGAAGCTCCGTGCCTGATGACAATGCGATTTTAGCTCTCACCGCTTACAAGTAAAAATTTATCGCGATATTATTTCCAAAAGATATGTATCGTCAGTCTAACCACTTAACTTTCTAGAACTGTTAAATTTAAACTGGAGCTCTGCACTGGGTGTCACTCGAAGTTTCAATCTTTTCTTGACTTTTACAAGAAAGAATTTGAATCACCAAATAGAATTTATAGTCAGTTAAAATCTCTACCACTTCCTGACTAGCTAGAAATCTCAAAGCCTAAATGGAGCTCTGTGCCTGCTGACAATAGTTTCCAGATATCCAACTTGAATTTATAATTAATTAAAAATATGATCATTTACTGATCAGATAAAGTACTTAAATGTAGACCTGTACTTGGTGACAGTGCAAGTTACAATTGTTCCCAAAATGTTGAAAGCAAACTTTATCATATTTTTTATCATCATCGAATTTTCCACTAATTTTCGACACAAACTAACAAATACAAATTAAAAAGGGGAAAAAAATCGGAAAATGAAAGTTTTAAAAACGACGCTTTTTAAATGGATTATAAAGGAGAAAATAATTCAATTTGTATCTCCTTTTAAAAAATTGATCCCCTTTTATCGCTAATCGAATTTTAACAATTTTCGACACAAATTGGCAGATACAAACTGAAAAGAAAAAAAGTACAAAAGTAAAATTATAAATTTTGAAAACTACATTTTTAAGTGAAGAAAATAATTTAATTTTTATTCCCTTTTTAAAAACTTATCATTTTTTATCACCAATCGAAATTTTTACCAATTTTCGACATAAGTTAACAAATAAAAACTAAAAAGAAGAAAAAAACAAAAACGAAACGAAGATTTTTAAAACAACATTTTTAAGTGGACTATAAAGGAGAAAATAATTCAATTTGTATCACTTTTTTAAAAAGTGAAACTCTTTTATCGCTAATCTAGTTTCTAAGCATTTTCGACATAAATTGGCAGTTACAAACTAAAAAGAAAAATGTATAATAAAAAAGCTATTAATTTCAAAAACTATGTTTTTAAGTGGATTTATAAAAGAGAAAATTATTCAATTTTTATTCCCTTTTTAAAAAACTTATCACTTTTTATCACCAATCGAAATTTCTACCAATTTTCGAAATAAGTTAAGAAATACAAACTAAAAAGAAAAAAAAACGAAAACAAAACGAAAATTTTTAAAACAATATTTTTAAGTGGATTATAAAGAAGAAAATAATTCAACTTGTATAACTTTTTAAAAAAATTGATACTCTTTTATCGCTAATCTAGTTTCGAAACAGTTTCGACATAAATTGGTAGATACAATCTAAAGGGAAAAGTGTACAATAAAAAAATTATGAATTTCAAAAACTACATTTTTAAGTAGATTTATAAAAGATAAAATAATTCAATTTTTATCACATCAAAAAACAAAAAGCGCATCATTTTTTTTATTAAACTTTTGTAATTATCGAAAATTTTCCCAACATCTTGCTAAAGTAATGCGCCTGACATTTTATTTTTTATTTTATTTTATTTATTTATTTAGGAGGCAAAATGTGAATTAATTTTCCCTCCATTTTGACTTACTTCACCGTTTCACCGTTTATGTTATTTTTATTTTATTCCATTTTTTTTATATTAACAAACAAATATAACTTTATTGAGAACAAAAACACATAAATACAAAGAATATATATTCGTCGTCAAGAGGAAAATCCTGTCCAGGCGACAAAGAAAAGTAATACAANTGATTCATAAAACTCACGTGAGTTGATTCGCTAACAGAGATTAAGGTAGCTAAGAGAATCATCGTTCCTTTCTAACGCAATTGACTTAAGGATCATTTTGAGTTAACTATTGTAACAATTTTGGGTTAACTGTTGTAAACCCGAAATTGGTGTCCAGACCCGATTATTTATTTTCTAATTCAAATAATATTTTCTTATAACCGTCGTTGAGCAACCGACCCAATTTTTGGTTCACGACTACCAATGATAAACTCCCTTGCCTTGTAATTTTGAACCCTATACAGTAAACAAGGGAACTCCTGGATCAAGTATTAAGAGAAATTTGCTTTTGCGTTACATGGAAAGGAAAGCCACGTAAACCTCCCATGGTTTGCCTAACGGCAAGGGGATCCTAACCCATGATCCGTCTACCTCTGAGGATAATTTACGTGGACACTGTGGTCGGTGCGAGCCGGGTGCGGAATTCAAATCGACCAGCCATTAACTCAGTTCACTTCATTGGAAAGCGAAAGCTCTATCCCTTGAGTGCCGCTGGCTCTCAAAGAATATTTTTAAATAATTTTATTTCCAAGTTTGAACTAGCCAATGAAATTTTAAAAAACGAAGGAAAGAAAGAAAATATTAATAAATGCATCACATTAGCAATGTAAATGTAAGCATCCAGAAATATTATTGTAATTTTAAAATCATTCCGGCACTTCTTTTTCTTATTTTAATAACTTTTGTTCTAATTATCGGATTTTTGCGTACTAATTTGACTTCATGTTTAGCAATCGATCCCTTAGATTTCGAAGTCAGAAACAAAAACGTACTTTTCTGAATAAACTTTGACTAACCAATGAAATTTTAAAAAACGAAAGAAAGAAAATATTAATAAATGTATCGCATTAGCAGTGAAAATGTAAGCATCTAGATATTATATTGTAATTTTAAAATCATTCTGTCACTTCTTTTTCGTATTTTAATAACTTTTGTTCTAATTATCGGATTTGTACGTACTAATTTGACTTCATGTCTAGTAATCGATCACTAAGATTTCGAAGTCAGAAACAAAAACGTACTTTTCTAAATAAACTTTTTTCCCCAGCGGATTTATATTCTTAACTTATATTAACTGTTCAGAATTTTAAATATTCCGGTTACTCGCATAAGATGTCAAAAAGGTGCACTTGCACCCCTGAAAATTCAATATTTTAAAAATTCTACATGTTTTGTAGTTTACTGTTTACTGTCTGTGTTTACTGTCGACCTTATCGTATCTAATATGGTCGTTAAGAGCCATATTTAATCTTCTCAGATTCATAACGATTTAAAATTTTGCAATTTAAAATTTAATGCTATAAAATAATTAATATTTTTCGTAAATTGGAAGATGTAAAGAGTACAATGCTTTAAAGTTAAATTTAAAAAACTTATAAAATGCCGAAACTCAATTTTTTTATGCTCGTAGTATATTTAATTTAAATATTGATATTTATTATTTTTTTTTATGTTTCAAAATTTAAAGTCTGTTTAAAATGTAGAGTTTTCGTCAAAAATTAATGTTTTACTGCCCACTGGACAGGGCATGGATGTTCTCTCATTCTCTTTGTATTATTTGTCCTTACAGTGGGAGCAACGTAGACCCAGCTAATAGGGTGCCCCTGAAAGAGTGACCAACAATTCTGCCCTACTCATACCTGAATTTTTACTTTTGTTTCGCTGTTGGAAAACAATCGTCCGCAAGAAATAATATTTATTATTCTTTCGGCAGTCCCTTTAAATGCGAACAGAAGGGCGTGTAAACGGGAAGTACTCTCCACGTCATTTGTCTAGAACAGCGGTGGTGACTATGGTTACAAGATTTAACTATTTCAAATAAGGGTGTTAGGTCAGTATTTAGGACTTAGTTTCGGGATGGCAATAGAAAGGGAATCAGGAAAGAGAGAAGTTCCCCATTTTGAAATATGCTATTTATTGTTTCCTAAACAGCAGACAGCCCTTGACTTTGTAACGAGAGGAGTGCTTCCTATAGACAAACTATAAATTTGTTACGATTTTTAGTTATCATTTTTTTTATTAATTCTTATTACTTGTTAATTGATGATTCAATAAGTTTTGTTTTCCTCATTTCACACGATTTAAGAAACCAAACAAAACGAACTCTGTGCACACCGTTTGAAGATTTGGCGATGCTCATGTTCGTTCGCTCTGGGAGCTTGGCATCCATTTGGCATGCTCTTAGATGCAAACAGGGTCTTTCCTTAGGGATAATGGTGTTTTTCTTAACT